CCCACATGAACTTGCTTTTAGAGATTGAGTCCCAACTCAACGCCCTCATGGATCATACCATGGTGGTAGTTCCAGTGGAGGGAGAATGACCCGTACATCCAGAGAAGAAAGTAGGAGTGAGATAACTATGAAAAGAGGTGGATTCATGCCTTATCCAATCTTTTTTTGTGTGGATAAAATGTATATACATACATACATACATACATACATACATACATACATACATACATACATACATACATACATACATACATACATACATACATACATACATACATACATACATACATACATACATATATATATATATCCAATGTTTATGTACAACATCAAAAACAGTAGCGCAGTCAGACATTTATAGTTAAAGGGGTCAGTCTTTAAGAATTTTATATTACAGTGGTCAAAGTTTAAAATATCAACATACTTTCTACAGATTTAAAGTATTTATATATACTATATACTTAAAAATTTGTTTTCTTGCAGGGGCCGTGGCCACCTCCAGCCCCTCCCTATCTCCACCCCTGATCAAAAACACCATCAACGGGTCATCACCAGTAAGGATGCCCAGCTACCACAAAAAACCATTCTATAGCTACATATACATGCTAGCCACAAAAAATGGTGACAAAACAGCAAAAAAATTAGAATGTTATCATATGATAAAGATACATAGAATAAAGCACTTTATACACCATATACTTTATATGATGTATTATGTCCTCGATGTTGGCTTTTGCTGCCTCAAAACAAATGGAGTTTCTTGTTCTCCACATCCAATATATGGTATAACAAAAACATATCCTCACGGCTTTAGCCTTGATGTGTTCACCATTGTGGTCCTTCTTTATCCATTTGACCGCGCTCCTCAATGTTGTCATTTGCCTTGTGATGCCTAGCCATGTCTTTATCCTTGTCCAAACCTTTCCTGTAATATGACATTCAAAATATAGGTGTGACACCGTTTCCGGTTCACCCTTAAAAAAGCACAAACATTAATCACATCGAGATATTCCAAGTTATCATACGTGGCTAGCCTATTACGGAAGGCTAACCAAGTAATGAAGGAGAACTTGGGAGGAATGTATGATTTCTATATGAAGGACATCCAAAGGTGAGGAGTACCCTTAATCAGAAGCATGTCATACATCCTAGATGATGATAATCTTTCATCAATAGTTATCTTTCCAAGATGAACTAAAGCCTCATTAAGAGAGGAGAATTTAGACAAGATCAAATCACGAACCAAAGCAAACCTTTTCATCAGCAAAGAGTCCCTATTGTGTGGAACAAAAGTCCACACATCCCTTCCATGGAGATATACACCATGAACCCACCTAACCCAAAGTGAGTCTTTTTTGGAGTGAATATTCCAAAGGGTTCGGGATAGGAGTGCATGATTCCACGCCTTTGTATCTTTTAAGCCCAAACCCCCCTCATCTTTAGGTAAGCACACATCATTCCATGCAACTTTAGCATGTTTACCACCCCAAAGAAAAATTCAACATATGTCAGTAATTCGGTCAAGTATGGCTCTAGGGACCGGAAAAATACCAAGCCAAAAGGACTGTACTCCCTGCATGACTGATCTAATCAACTCCACTTTACCTGCATAAGATAGAGTCTTTGTGTTCCACACATTTATGTAATCTATCACAGTGTCCAGCAAAGGAGCAAATTGTGCAACAAATATCTTTAAAGGAGCAAGTGGGATACCCAAATACTTAACAGAAAAGATCCTTGTTTAAAGTCTACCATATGAAGGATATAATGCAATTGGTTAGCTATATTCCCTCCTAAAATATATTAGCCTTATCATGATTAAACATAAGTCCTGAGACTTGGCCATAGTCATCCAGAGCATCCACCAATATCTTTATAGAAGTGTAATTACCTTTTGAAAACAACATCAGGTCATCAGCATATGCTAAGTGTGATATATTTACTTTAGAGCACAAAGGATGGTGGCAGAAAGTAGGAACCGAGGTCCTAATGTCCAACATCCGTGAGAGATACTCTAAACAAATAACAAATGACATTGGGGACATAGGGTCCCCTTGTCTAAGACCCCTCTTTCCCTCAAACCATCCATGGAGTACACCATTTATGGAGATTGAAAAAGAAGATGTCGTGACACATTCCATAATCCAGTTAACAAACAAGTTAGGTAACCCAATCTGTCTAAGTATACTATCTAGGAAATCCCAGGATACAGTATCGTAGGCCTTCCTAAGATCAATCTTGATCATACATCTAGGAGTTACCTTTTTCCTAGCATACCCCCTCACTAACTCCTGTGCAAGGAATATGTTGTGAGACATCAATCTTCCATCCACAAAAGCTCGCTGTGCAAGGTTAATAATTCCAGAAAGACAAGGTCCCAACCTAGCTGCAAGAATCTTAGTGATAATCTTATATGTCACATTTGTACAAGATATAGGTCTAAAATCTTATATGGTTAACCTGCCTAAGCATAGTCCCAGATACAAAGAACTCCCTTACAGCCTCACACACATCCTCCCCAACCGTGCCCCAATTTGCTTTGAAAAAAGCAGAGGAAAAAGCAGAGAAGGTATGTTTGTTAATCGTCTTAATTTGAAGTCCACTTTCTATTTATTTTGCTCATTGAGTTAAAATTATTATACTGTATTAGGCACTCAAGCAGCTCCAAGGAACAAGTCTGCCTCATTGTCCTCCTGAGAGCAAGAGGCTTTTGGGTTGGAATTTTGTGAGGGTTGGTTAATATTATTGTATCATTTCATTTTGTTTTTACTTTGAAGTATTAGAACAATTTCAATTTTGGTGAATTTAATTATTCCCAAACTACTACAAAGAGTTGATTTCTGAGTTTGTTTGCTTATTAATGAATGAAAGGCCTATTTTATAGCTTTTCAATTGCCTAAATCTGTTTTGGACCTATAAGGTATTTATTTTTATCCCTGAAGCCTCTTCACTTGTTTTGCTTGATCATATCATCTATTAATGCTATATAGTATTAATAGATGATCAAATTTGTAACCCGTGCATGTAAAGATGTAATTCCATATATGATCAAATTATTCAAATATAAATAATGAAAACAAGGAGTATAATTGCTCAATTATTTATAATTGCCAAAAGATATTTTATGGGCCCGTCCCGCACAGTAGCAGGCTGGGCCAGTACTGTCCGAACCGAGTCCATGCCTAGTTAGTATTATATGCAGATCAGGAGCTGATCCTGAATTCCTGACTAGGGTTGAAAGTTGAAACCGAGCAAATAGTCGGATCAGTTTACATGAATTTTTTGTTCTGGACTGAAACTGGTTTGAAAATGTTCGAGTTGCAACTTCCAACTCTCTTAAAATCAGGACTTTTATTGTGGTTCTTGATTTTTTAAAATAGTCTAGAGGTGGAACTGATTTGAATGGAAACCTGGACTCGTTTTTGAAGATCAGGTTCAGGTTCATCTTCCCCTACTTGGAAGTTGGAACCAGAAATTGAACGAGGAAATTTCCTATATGAAATCAATAAGGATAAAGTTCATAAATGAGATTATTCCCGTTTTTTTTTTTCAAAATAAGATTCATTCACTCTCATTTGAGAAATTTTAACCAATGTATTCTTTCGAGATTAAATAAGTCTTATTTGAGAAATAAGACATGTTTAATCCTATTTTTGAAATTGGGGCACATATTAGTGTTATATTGAGCAATTTTTAAAAGGGAAAATGGAAACTAATAATCCAACCTTTTAACGGTCTTCTTTTAATAGTCCCACCTTTTCGTTATTCGTGAATAATCCAACCTTTGCACCTCATCTTCATTCACTGGTCCCTGACCGGTTGATGACCTGCTATTCCAAGTTATTTTCTTATCTTTGCAAAATATTATCTTTGTGAAAGGTGGAATTTATGGTATAATAGTTTGCAGAGAAAAGAAAATAACTCGGAATAGCAGGTCATCAACTGGTCGGGGATCAATGAATGAAGATGAGGTGCAAAGGTTGGATTATTCATGAATAACGAAAAGGTCGGATTATTAAAAGAAGACCGCTAAAAGGTTGGATTATTAGTTTCCATTTTCCCTTTTTAAAATTCAATTGACTTGGGTCCATGCCTAGTTTCAATGGTCATTATATGAAGTAGATATTTCATCAATTAATCAGTTATCAGCATTTGGTGACTTATGGTAACAAGGAATTGAAAAATGATGTTTTAGACTTTTAGCTAACATTTATAGCGTTTTCAATAAGTGATAATGTTGTTCAGTAAATAGATGTCCGGCTAGACCGGCCTTAGCATTTTTGAAAGGAATCTCCGAAAGGAAAATTGGAACCATTTTGGGTTAGCATTTCGAAATATGACATTTTTTTTACTAATTGTTATGATCAAACATTTAAATTAAAAAATATCTTTTTACAACCCGCAAACCCATATGACTAGTCAAAATAATCCTCTAATATAATTTGGATAAAATAATCTTCTAATATACTTCCTCCGTTCTTTAATTCTTGAAACATTGTGATTTTTGGACTATTCACAAACCGACCATGATTTTTTTTACTAATATACATAACTAAATTATTATGTATAAAATGTTATTGAATTCTTATCAATGTGAATTATCAAAATATTATCTTTTTATAATTTTTACTAATACATGATTAAATATAATAATAATCAAGGTTGTGCATTAACAAACGTGAAAGTCCTGCAAGAATTAAAGAACGTAATTTTGTTTCCGTTGCATGCTACACACGCTCAACGTTTATATATCTCGGGTCTAAAGAAACCGAATCTTGTTTTTCTAAATCAACCCGGGGACGAGCAGCGGCTTTGGCCATTGAAGAAATAAAACCCTGACATGCCGAGAACAAACCGCTGAAAACCATCCTTTTTCTGTAACAAACAATGACTACCCAGAGATGAGCAGCGGCCTCAAACCCTGAGGTGGAGAACTGCGGCACCATTAATGCATTGATTATTGTTAGAATTTACTCTCAAGCATATATAAGTTACTATATCGTAGTGAATAGCACATTAATCTTTCTTTAAAAATGGCCAATAAGGTTTGCAACTATGCAATATTTGTTGTCATATAATACACACAAATGGAGCAAAGGTTGGTTCTGGGCCCAAGCCACTTCTGGGTGTTGGGGGGCTTAATGAGAGATTTGAGCCTATGACCTCACACACAAATAACCCAACTGCGGGGCTAAAAGTAAAAAACAGCAGCCCTTTTCAGAATAAGACCACATCTCCTGGCTGGATTACCAACTAAAGTGTCATCATCCCAGTTATCTACTTCTAGTGATGGTCTGAGGATGCCAAAACATTATGCTCCTGCAGGTGTCTTTGAAATTGAGCTAAACGGTTCTGCATCTGCAAGATTGCAGCAGCCTTCTGAGAGAGGATCGAGTTCAACCCACTTATGTAATCATCTAACTTGTTTCCTGGTCGATCTGCTTCCACTAAAAGATTCATCTCCTGAATTATTATAATATATACACACAAAAACCTATCAGGATAGCGGCATACAGTGTTTCTACTTCTACTACTACAATGTGTTATTTTACGTTCTAGCATCTTTATTATGAGATTAGAGAAAATAAATAGTGTAAAACTAAGGATGGTGATAATGGATCAATATTCCGCACATTTCATTTATTTATTTATTTATTGAGGGAGGGGGTCTAGGAAGCGGATATATACCCTGGAACTGTGGGCCATATATGGAAAGACTAAAAGTTGTGTGAGGACCGTTCTCCTAGGATTAAAACTAATATAATCACCAAATTTTATATTATTCCATATTTATATATTGTCAGTTACCTGTCTTACGATGTCCATAGTTTCTTCTACTTGTCTCCTATGAGCATTGACGAGATCTTCCTCTTCCTAAAAGGATTCAGCAATCAGTTAGTTGTACAGAGGGCAATTGAAATATATCAATTTTCAAGCCTAAAAATCCAAACTCTACCTACCTTTAAAAGTGAATTTAAATCATCATTCTCATTCCAAACCTTAGGTTCTGTTCTAAGTGGCTCCTTCCACTTGTTTGTTTGGTCATGGTCCCTCCTTTTTTTCTCTTCTGGATTAGAAACATTGGGTGTCTCAACTTTTAAATTTTTTCTCGATGATATTTGCTTGACTTGCTCATAGAAGTCCTCCTGGTACTCATCTTTCTCTGTTTGTTCTGACCATGAATTGCCCATATTATCTTCATATGTTGATGCAGAAGGTAGCACGGTTGATTCCCTCAAATTCATAGTTGAAGATGGCACATCTTTCTTGGAGTTGTTCCCTTTCGAAAGACTCTTCACTCTGCAGTTCATAGATATTTTGTCAAATTCAAGTCAAAATGGCTGGAAAAGAAGGGGGAAACACAATAAATTATTACTCAGAATCATCTAAAAAGAGATATTACCTGTCTGCATATCGCAATGTGTTGAGAGTATGTTCACATGATCCAGAGTTTGGGGAAATGCAGGATATCATTACAGTTCGACTGTTTCCAACAAATGAGTCCCTTAGGACTTCAGTTAGCTTACTGCCTCTAAAGGGTATATGGCCTTGATCATTGTCAAGCGCTCTGATGCATTCCTTCAATGCTAGCAAGCTTTTGTTGATCTCTGCTCCTTCGATTCTGCATATAATGATTAGAAAACAAAACAAGAAATGAATTAGCATATGGGCTCGAATGCTCTTACTTGAGGAGGACCTAAGAGTCATATATTTTAGCATTAAGTATGTCTTTCGCCCCTGTAAATATAAATTATTTGTCAGGTCTCTCTGGTATTATTTTTTGTTACCCATCCCTGCAATTTACATTTTTTTTCATTCCTCTGTCAACCTAAGCTAAAAAAACTGACGTGTATCACACAACTCTAGTTTGGATTTTCCGTGTCATTTAAATGGTTGCATATTATGGATTAATTTATTTCCAAATGGCGAGAGAGATGTAATTTGAAAGCGAGAATGGCGAGTTTTCCTTAGCCCCGGACCGTATTTTGGACCTGAATCGGACAGGAATGGACCGGTCCGGACCGGACCGGTATTAACAGGTTCAGGTTTCGGTCCTTAGAATTTTAAGATTCCGGGTTCCAGTCCGGTCCGGGTCAAACCCGGAAAAAAACAGGTCTGGACCGGTAACCCGTTAAGTTATTGTTCCGTAAAATATATACTTCATTCTGTATGGCATAAATATAACATATAAAATATATATGGAGTGAATTAAAGGAAACCTACTTTACTAGCACTTACACCTGCGCCAACATACATGATACACCTGCTAGCCTGCCGATTTATATATTTTTATAGGAAACTAAATGAAATTGTTTATGATTAAATATTCATATGCCAAAATGATAAATGAATTTAGCAATTATTTAGAATATACGCACATCATCATTTAAAATAAAAATATTTGCACATTATATTATAGCTTGTACTACGTAACAAAAATCTAAGATAATATGAAGTATGCCTTTTTTTTAAAAACCGGGTCAAAACCGGACTGGACCGGAAATTTCAGGTCCGGACCGGTTATTAACAGGTCCGGCTTCGGTCCTTATAAAACCAAGATTCCGGTTCCGGTCCTAACCGGTTTTGGACCGGCGCACACCCCTAAGTATCATATCAAACTTGACCACTAATCCACGTCTGTCTAGGTTGTACCCTCCCTCTCTTCCATATACTTCCTCTCCCCACCTCTGAATTCGCCTCCCCACATAAACTACAGGGATGATTAATAAAACATTATTTTACCAGGACCAATAAATGATATGTGGGGTAGTCATAAAATAATATTTCAACCCATGATTAATTGTTCATGATGAAATAACTGTTCAAGAAAACGAATGAGCTTTAAAAACATCTCAGGTAATAAGTAGACACAGACCTGGTCTGTTTGTCATTATCAGTAGTGTCAGCGCCACGTTCACTTCCAGCAAGGTCTATAAAAGAGAGCTTACCAACAAGTCGGGCTGGTTTGGATTCATTTGCATCGGCTGACTTCTTTATAGAAAGCTGAAGTATAGCATGTGACCTAGATGATTCTTCATTGGCACCAGTGGTGCCTGTACTTCTAGTTGCACTGCCTCTGTCAATCAGCTCCTTAATCATCTCCACATCAGAAACTCTGTACTCTTGTAGTCCCACTATACATACTTGCTGTTTACCATCCTCCCTCATGCAAAGTTTTCTGCAGAAGGGTCAGTTATCATGAATGCAAGCAAATGTGATGCAAACATCTAAGAACTCTTCAGGATGTATTTTTCCTGAAAATGGTTTCAAGAAGAAATGTTTTTATAAGAGGGGTTCTATTAAAAGAAGTGAAATGTTAGGCAATACAATTACAACATTCTTTTGATGGGAATTTCTGAAAGAAATGTTTGAGACCATTTGTAGGGCATGTAGGCTTTAATTTTAGCTTATAAGATAGTTTTCACTTAAAGTTATCTATGGTTACATTTAGAAGCACTTTTATCCAAAAGCACATCTAAAAAGACTCAAAAAGATTTTAACAACAGAATCATGCTAAGAGCACTTACTTCCGATCATTAAGAAGGTCAAAGAGTTTCCCTCCGTATATCTCAAAGAAGCTGACAAACAATTGGAAACCCTGATTCCGGTATGTATAGTGCATGAGATTCAAAATGTCTCTTGATGCCCTCAATGGCAGTGGTTTCATTGTAAATGTCTTCCCGCTTCCTGATGATGATTGAAGTTGGCCAATAAAATCACAGTAAATATTTAAAAGTCAGGAGTGTACAAATTTTCCGCCAACAGAACAAAATATGGAAGATGTATGGAAAATAACACAGCATATCAAGAAAGATGGAAGCATGGACTTCACAAAAACTAAAAATCATGATGCTCTTTACTAAAGGATAGAGACTCTAGCAAGTTTATACTATATAGAGGATACAATCACTGGAGAGAATGCATGTTCTAAAATAAAAATAAAGACGAGAAAATCATTTTGGGGAATATGTGCTACTATTATAAACTATAGTGGCAGACTAGATATACAACAACAACAACCAAGCCTTAGTCCCAAAAGAGTTTGGAGTCGGCTTTCATGAATCGACACATGAAATTGGAGCTAAAAAGATAAAAAAGATACTCCCTCCGTCCCATAAAACTTGGACAAATTGACCTTTCTTGGTCAATGATTATAAACTCTGAACAATGATTTTAGCTATTATATTTGTGTGAAATTTATAAATTTTATACTTTTAGGAGAATTTTTTTAACAAAGAATATTTCCATATAGATTTCATATTTTAAATAATTTCGTATAAAAAAATATCATTGGTCAAACTTGACCATCCTAGACCAAGAAAGGTTAATTGGCCCAAGTTTTATGGCACGGATGGAGTAAAAAGATAATATAAGAAAAAGAAGATAAAAAAGATAAAAATGATTAGATAAAAAAGGATAAAGAACGTAAGGAAGATAACCGATAAAAGGATTACAAAGATAAAAAGAGATCAATCCTCCACACTTAAGGGACCAAAATTGGTAGTATGAAAACTAGGGGCCCAAATCACCAAATTGGGATAATTAGGAAGTCA